CCGCCGCCGCCGCAGGCGGGCACGCTGCGCGCCGACAGCCGCTCGCATCGCGCCGTCAGAGCTGCGTTCTCCTCCGCCAGCTGGTGGCAGCGACGCTCCAGCTGCGCGGCAGCTGCCGCCATGCGGCGCGTCCTCGGCGTCCTGCCAAACCCCGTGGGCGCCTGCTGCGGCCCCGCCGCCCCCCCTTCCCCTCCAGCCTCCGGCCCCTGCGCACCCCCACGTGTGCCGCTTGCCGCGGTCGCCGCCGCCGCGGCGGCCGCCGCCGCGAGGCTCTCGTTCTGCGCCGCGAGCGCCGCGTTCGCCGCCTCCGCCGCCTCGCGCGCCGCCCGCTCGGCTTCCAACCGCCGCGCCGCCTCGGCGAGTCGTGCGCCGTCCTCCAGCGCACGCGCGGCGCCGTCCGCCTCGGCGTCGGCTGCCGCGTCGGCCGCGGCGCGGAGGGCGGCGTTGTCGGCGGCGAGCGCGGCGGCGCGCGCCGCGAGCTGGTCGGCGCGGAGGGCGGATTCTTGGAGGCGCCGCTCCGCGGCGTCGGCGTCGCGCCGCGCTGCCGCCTGCGGAAGCCGAGCGGGCGGGGTCGGCCGCGACGGGGAGGACCGGAGCGGGTGAGATGTGGCGCACGGCAGATCATGTCATGTGGTTGTGTATTTAGCAGGGGTGGCTGCGGGTCCTGTGGGGCGGGACCGCAACTTGGGGATGCCGGCAATGGGCCCTCCGCAGCACGCAGGTCGCAGCCGCGCCGACCAACGCCGTCTGTTTGGCCCGAGCCGCACACTCTGCAAACGGGGGAGCCCTGGCCGGCCTCAAAACCACACTCAGCAGGAACACCCACCCGTGCTTGCTCAGACGCGGCGAGCGCGTCCCGCGCCCGTGCCTCGCCCGCCCGCGCCGCCTCCACCCGCGCCCGCGCGTTCTCCTCCCCCGCCTCCGCCGCCTCGTCTGCCGCCGCCGACGCGCGCCGGCACGCCTCCGCCTCCGCCTGAGCGTCCAGCAGCGCTGACTCTGCCGCGGCCAGCTGCACCTCCAATCCCCTGCAGCGCCCCTCCAGCTCCCCGGCCACGCGCCGCAGCTCCAGCATTTTGTTCCCAGCCGCACCGCCGCTGCCACAGCTGCCGACGTGGGGGCGCGCCGGCGAGCCGGCCTCGCCCTCCTGACGCGCCAGCAGCAGGTCCCGCAGCGACGCCCGCAGCGCGGCCGCGCCGCCCACCGCCGCCGACGCGCGGAGCGCCGCGGCCCGGCGCGGCGTGGCGCCTGCGGCAGCCGGAGCTCCGACCTCCTCTTGCTCCCCAGCCCCCTCCTGGGCCCTCTCGTCTGTGCCAGCCTCCAGAGCATTGTGAGTATCATCAACATCACATGCGTCTCCTTCATCGTCGTCCTCGAGAGCCAGGAGGTCCATCATCGCAGCCAGCGCCTCCAGCGCGCTGCGGCCCTCGCGCTCACTGAGCGCCAGGCGGCGGCGCACCAGCTGCAGCTCTGACTGCAGCGAGCCCAAGTCTGCGGCGGCGGTCGCAGCGCCCGCGCCGCAGGGGCCGTTGGCCTGCGGGCGGCATGGCAGCGGCGTGTGGAAAGGGCAAGCGGCATCGCGGAGGGTGCTGAAACTCGTGCTCTGTTGGGC